ACTCTTTGCCGAGAAGGAGGTACTTAACTGCATGCATTCTTATTTTTTTAGCCGAAGCTGGATCTGTTGGTAAACTGCTGTTGACGAGGTATTGAATGATTGAAGTCATCTAATTTTGAGGCATATTTCCTACGTCCATGCACTCTTTTTTGACAATGCTAGGTTGAGAGATTTCCTAATGAATCACGCTTTGTAATTGTCCAAGTTTCTTTTGATTAGTAAGCCTAGCAAGCCTATCGGCCTGCTCGTTCATAGTCTTCGATGTATGTCGAGCATGTACCTCGTGAAATTCATCCTTTATGTTTTTGAATTCTTGATAATATTAGAGCATAACTGAATCCTTCACCTGATATGTTCCATTGACCTATTTGGCCACTATCTTTGAATTACTCCAGCAAGTGATGCATTTTACTCCAATTTCTTTTGCTAATATGAGACCGGCTAGTAGAGCTTCATACTCGACTTGATTGTTGGATGCTTTGAATCCAAACCGAATAGATTGTTCAATAGTTACAGTGTTCGGCCCTTCAAGTATAATTCCTGCTCCACTACTCAGTTGGTTTGATGATCCATCAACATGCAGGTTTCACATATCCAAGCTGTGTTTCTGGGTAGTGAACTCGTTGATGAAGTCTGCTAGCACTTGAGCTTTAAGAGGGCGTCAGTTTTCAAAATAAATATCGAATTAAGATAACCGATTGTTTAGGCTATTAACCGATCAGCCAATTCTGGTTTTCTCAAAACTTTGGCCATTGGGCAATCTGTACGCACCACCACCCGATGGCTTTGAAAGTAATGTCTTAATTGACGAGTTGTATGGACTAGGGCTAGCACCACTTTTTCCATTGACTGATAGCGTGATTCGGGGCCTTAGAGTGTTTGGCTAATGAAGTAAATAGGGACTGGTTCAGATATTTCTTGTAATAAGACCGAGCTGATGACATTTTCTGACACAGCCAAATAAATAATCATCTCCATTTCAGGCTTCGGCTTTGTCAATACGGGCAATACTATTAATATATTTTTATATTGTATGAAGGCGGTTTCACACTCGTTATTCCAAGCAAATTTCTGGGATTTTTTAAGTAAATCAATGAAAGGCCGAGACATCTCTGCCATGATAGGCAAAAATCTAGCCAGGGCGACAATACGACCAGTGAGTTTTTGAACCTGCTTGACATTCCGAGGACTAGTCATTTTGATGATGGCTTGGCATTTGTCAGGGTTTTCCTGGATCCCCCTTTCTGATAATATAAACCCCAAGAACTTGCCACCAGCTACCCCGAATGTACACTTCTCTGGGTTAAACCGCATCCCATGTTGTCTGGCTTCCCCGAACACCTCGGTTAAATGAGCGAGATGATGCTCCAAAGCAGTAGATTTTACCACCATGTCATCTACATACACCTCCATGCATTTCCCAACTTGTTTTTCAAAAATTTTATTCATTAGCCTCTGATACGTCGCCCCTGCATTCTTCAAGCCGAATGACATTACTCGATAGCAAAAATTTGCTGAGTCCGTGATGAATGTCGTTTTCTGTTCATCCGGGGGATACATCCGGATTTGATTGTACCCAGAATAAGCATCCAAAACACTGAGTATCCTGTGGTCGGTTGTCCTGTCCACCAGGGTATCAATATTTGGTAGAGGATATGCATCTTTTGGGCATGCCTTGTTGAGATCCGTGAAGTTCGTGCACATTCACCATTTACCATTTGCTTTTTTCAGCATGACCACATTAGCCAACCAAGTGGAATATTTGACTTCTCGGATAAATTCGGCTTGTAGCAGTTTGTCAGTTTCCTCTCTTATCACCTCCAATCTTCCTCTTTTTCTGACCTATCGATTTGGCCCTCTTATAAATTGATAGGTGAAGACAAAGAAATGCCGGGTCAATGCCTGGCATGTCTGAAGCCGACCAAGCAAATAAATCAGAGTTATGCTGCATAATTTTGTGAAGATCTTGCCTCTCTTGTACAGATAGACCTACCCCCAGATAAGTGACTTGTTCAGCCTTTGGCCCAAGTTGAAAAGGTTGCTTGTTTTCATTAGGCTCAACCCAACATCCCTCATCTACTCTAGGATCGAGTTCAACATCCAATTCTTCTCCAAATCGAGGGGATACAATGTTGACATCTCAGCTACTTCCATGGAAAGGCTTAAGACGTAAGTTTGCAAAATAGCATTCCCTGGTCATCTTCTGGTCAGCATGTACTGTAATGATTCAACTTCTTTTGGACAGAAACTTCATGGCCAAGTGCGAAGTAGACATTATGGCCTTCAACTTGTTAAGGGATGGTCTGCCAAGTAGTATATTGTACGAGGTATTCGCGTGTACTATTAGGTAAGTGACTTTGATATGCTTTTTCTCGTGTTTTGACCCGAATGAAGTGTAGAGATCAATACATCCACGGGTTTCTACCCGCTCCCTAGAAAAACCGACCAGTGGTTCGTGGTATTCTCAAAGCTCCTCTTCTGGTATGCCCAATTGTTTGAATGTACTCCAGTAGAGGATATCAGTCGAACTTCCTTAGTCAATGAGTGTTTTTCTGATAGTACAATTGAGAATGTCAACACTGATAACCATCGGATCAACTTGTACCGAATCCACTCCTTGAAAGTCATCGTTTGTGAACGTAATGGGCGAAATTCGAATTCTGCTGCCCAATGAAACGTTGTTAACAGAGCGAACCTGTCTAAGATGTCTTTTTCTAGTCGAATGGGTGGGTCCTCCACCAGCAAACCCACCGGCTATGGTGTTGATCACCCTCTTCGGTTATTTTTCTCGTTTATTATATCTTTTTACATGAGGCTCTCTTGACCATCTCCGCTGTCTCTCAAGCTGCTTATCTTTGTACCTTCTTGAGGATTGTGGGTATCGGTCCCTACCTCTCTCAATACGACTAGTAGGATTCGTTTGTACAAATCCTTGAAGATGTCCTTCCTTTATCAAATCTTCAATTTTATCTTTTAGGACCGTGCATTCCTCTGTTGTATGACCCCTATTGCGATGATATCGACAAGATTTGTTCTTATCTGCCCGAGGAGGGTGTTAGCACATTTGGGCATACTCAAGATTTTTGTTGCTAAGGCTTGATCAAGTACCATGGACCTGTTAGTGTTGAGTGTGGTATAAGAGCGGTATTTAGGCCCCCTGGGAGGCCTCTCGGGCGCATTCCTTTATTTTCTTGCCAAGATCTGAAAGTTTCTTTTTTGCTCAGGTCCATTCGAATTTGATTTCAGTACTTGGCTAATTCCTCCATCTGCATATACTTTGATGCCCGACTTCTCAATTCATCCAAATCAGCTAGCGATTTTTTGCAAATCATGTTAACGAAAGGCCCAGGCTTAAGAGCCGTTGTAAGGTGGTGCATGGCCACGGCAAGTTCTAGATTATGGATGGAAAGTGTCACTTTACCGAATCGTTCTATGAACGCTCGAAGTAATTCTCCTTTTTCCTGACGAATGTTGACAGGCGCCAGGGATGTCAAGGGGTGAGGTCAGCTTCTGGCGAACTGCAGATTGAACCGTCTTGTGAGGGTTGTGAAGGAGTCAATAGATGAGGGAGGGAGTCGGGTAAACCAAATGAGAGTTGGTCCTCTTAGTGAAGTGGAAAAAATCCTGCACCACAAGGAGTCATTTTCTGTGTACAAGCCGACCTAAGTTGTGAAAACATTTAGATGTTCCCCGGGATCAGTTATGCCATCATATTTTTCTATTGTTAAGCCTCTCCAGTTGTTCGGTAGTTTAGCATCCAAGATATGGTGAACAAACAGGCTTCGGTTCACTACATCATCTCGGTCATTCTTAGTTTCAGATTGCTGAATTAATCTCGGTTTCTCTTGTAACGCCAATGACTCCCCCTGATCCTGGGCGAAAGGTGTAGTTTGGGAAGGGATGTGTGTTCTTATTTCTTCTCTTAAGTGAGCATTTTCCCTTCTCAAGACCAAGAGCTCCAGGGCATCTTTTTCCCTTTCCTTTTTCATCTTCATCATTTCTGTTTTGAGCTGCATTAACACCGTTAAAAGTCCTTCATCAGTTCCTTCTTCCACCAGAACCTCAGGTGTTGGTTGGGTAGGTGTAATATCTTCTTGCTATTGCCGAGAAGTTCTCCCTACTGAACATGTTCGTCCTGTTGGCTTCTTGTTAGTACCATATTGATAAAAAAAAGCAAGGCAATCGGGCCCCACGGTAGGCGCCAAAATGTTCTTGCTAGAGAAACACTAATCTTCAAGTATCTACTATGAAATGGTGACGTCCTTCTGACTGTCGTTGACGTGGGAAGGATACCTGCAAAAAGCACTCCGATGCTGAAGTCAGGATTCGGTTTTGAGCAATAAATTATATTTAATAATGAAAACTCAACCTTTTACTTATACTTCCTACTTTCCTTTTATATGCATTGTTGTGGACCAGAGAGCTGCTGAGATAACTTTGATTTTTGCCCTTTACTTAAAGTAAATAATACTTTGATTATTACCTTTAATTGAGTTAATTACCTTTTAATCCTAATAATAAGGTATTCGGCCAAACTGGACCGAATAGGTAATTGATTTTCTTTTTCTATATGTAAGACCGAGCACTTTCCTATCTAATACAATATATATCAACAATTTTTAATTTAGAATGAGTTTTTATTTTCTTGCAGCGAATTAACGTTGAATCCCGGGAGAATGTTGGCGTAAGTAAAACATCTTACAATAACTTTGTGGACTACAAGAAATGTTCATATGTCACGCAACGAGAAATAATATAAAAAAGACAAAAACATATAAAAAATAAAAAAATTGTAAGCATATATGGGCCCCTTCACCCAGTGCACTATTTAGAGCGAAAGCATTCACATGGGCCATCCTAAAAGAGCCGGCCCAATTATGCCCCCACATCACTCTCTCTTTCCCTTTTCAAAACTCTCTCTCTCTCTCTATTACCACCTTTCTCTCTCACACTCAGACTCAACAAAAGCTTAATTATAATTGGGAACACACAACACCGCAATGCACTCCTCCGCCGAGGAAGATTCCGACAAATCCACCACCGTGACCACCACCGCCACAGAATGGACGTTCTCCACCAAGTCACACGCACCCTCCTCCGTCGACCCATGCTGGGACGCCATACAGCGCGGCGGCGCCACCCTGGGACTCGGAGACCTCCGGTTCGTGCAGTGCTTGGGAAGCGGCGACATAGGAAGTGTGTATCTGGTGGAATTGAAGGGTTCTAACGGGTTACTCTTCGCAGCGAAGGTGATGGACAAGAAGGAGCTCGTGGCTAGGAACAAAGACACGAGGGCCAGGGTTGAGAGGGAGATACTGCACGTGCTCGATCATCCTTTCTTGCCAACGCTTTATGCATCTTTTGATTCTCCACGGTGGTCTTGCCTACTTACCGAGTTTTGCCCCGGCAGCGACCTCCACGTCCTCCGCCAGCGCCAGCCCGAAAAACGGTTCCACGAGGCCGCAGTTAGGTACGTATGTGCGACGTCATTTCTTCTTCTTTTCCTTTCTCTTTAATTATCGTCGAACTAGTTTAGCTCTTGTTGGTTTTAATGTGCATGTTAGCTTTGTTACACTCCGGTTAAAATGCAAGTCTGATTCTGGTATTGTAAGCACCAGTGGTTGCTGTTTGAGAGAGAACGCATGATATTCAGGATGATGAATGCATATGCATGTTGAATAATTATTGCTATAAAAATAATCATGTATTAATGAAAAAATAATAGGTAATTTCTTTCTTAATATTACTCTTATCGTATAGAGTTTTATTTTTGGTCGTGTATAAAATGATTTTATTAAAAGAAAAAAAAATTCATCTTATTAATGTTTTCATCTTGAAGAATTTAGTTTTTAATTATTAATTAGAGATGGTTTTAATAAAAAAAATGTTACAACTTTATGTTAAAATTGAATATGATATATTATAATATTAACATAGATTTGTAATATTTATATTATCATTTTTTTAAAATTAAGGTTATAAAATAGAAACAAACTTAGTACCTAACCATTACTATCTGATATGTCATTTAGGGGGATTTGGAGGTCAATTGACATTTTAAGTGTTATGCATGTGTTTAAGGTTTTATCCTCTAATCGCGTTCCCTATCATAGATCACCCCTAATGTAACCAAAAGGAGAATGATTAATATTCTTGAGAGAGAGAGAGAGAGAGAGAGAGATATGCATGTTTATTTGGCTTCTCTCACTTGAGGACGTAGATTGTTGATGGGAAAGTTGGGTTGGGTCCATGGCTTTGAGTTGAGTTGGCTTCGGGCTGTTCATAATTTCATTGCCAGTGGGGCATCTGATTCAATTCATGTCTCCTCTGATGCCTTTGATTGTGAGCCCACAAAGGCTTTTGGTGTGTCCGTCGTGCACCAAATAATAATTTAACACCACCCCACTTAACCAGTAACAATTATCAAAATGCCAAAATAATAATAAGCCCCTAAACATTTCTATCTTGTCTTTTCCGAATTCTTAGAGCTTTATTTCACTATTTTTCTTTTAATTAAGAGCCGTTTTGACATTGTCAAAATTCGTATTGCGATGGTAAACTATTGTGTATATATATATATATATACTCAACAGAGGTTCTGTGTAATAGAAAACTCTACTCTCCATGAAATGAAAAATCACAGTTTAAATCCTCATTATTTAATAATTGATCGTATTTTAAATAATATTTCTTTTTGAAAGATACATGCAGAAGAAAACAAACTATTCCATAAGTAAATATATCGAAATGCAACTTACGGGCTCTTAATAGGGATTGCCATGTACGATGGAAATTTCGAAGCTAAACCAATACATCGGTTGCAATCTTGTCCATATTTAAGGACTTTCCTGTTTTTTTATTTAAATCTTTATGACGTTTTCCTTGGTCAAAAATTTAAAATATTGGCGATGATTATTCAAATGTGGACCCTACATAGCTTAATTATTGGAGAAATATTTGATGGTAATAAAATTATGATGCTGATATATGTACCAAAAAAAATAATATGATGGCGATAATAATAATTCTACCATATGGTTGACTTGAAGGGCCTAGCTGAAAATGTGACTACAGATCTATTGCTTTATTATGGAGTAATATTGGTGTCTGCGGTTACAGGTTCTATGCATCTGAGGTGGTGGTTGCCTTGGAATACCTACACATGATGGGGATAATATACCGCGATTTGAAGCCTGAAAACGTGCTCATAAGATCGGACGGTCATATAATGCTCACAGATTTTGATCTCTCACTAAAAGGCGATGACACGTCATCAACGGCCCAGATTGTCTTTGATCAAGATCCACCCACCAACACTTGTTCCAACGAACATTCCAAAAACCAATGTGCACCCGCCATGTCATCATGCATGTTGCCCAATTGCATCGTGCCATCTGTCCCATGCTTCATCCCCAAACGCAGCCGTAAAAAGAGGTCATCACGTTGTGGGTCCCTCGAGATCATAGCCGAGCCAATAGAAATTCGATCCATGTCGTTTGTTGGGACCCACGAGTACTTGGCACCGGAGGTAATTTCCGGGGAAGGTCACGGTAACGTCGTTGAGTCCAATTGAAAGATCACCAAGGGAATGCTAAAATTTCAAAGGGCATGTGTGTTGATTTTATGTAATTAATTTAAGTTGTGTCAGATAAATCTTTCCTATCACAAAGGCAAAGATGCAGATGTTAGGTGCATATGATATATGCACCACTGAAATTGGTGTAATTAACAAATTTATTTTTAATTTTTAGAGCACTTCAGAGTATTCATTGGACACCGGATTTTCTTATATTACAGGAAGGAAAAGAAAAATATAGAAATTTGGATCCAGACACGATTTTTTCCCCCTCATGTTACAAATGAAAAAGACGCGACCATAATTGTGATAAAACTTGCCATCGTGTATTTTTGGTTTGTTAAATTTACTTTTATAATTTTCTATTTCATATCAAATGAAACGTTAAAGGATTAAAATCTAATACTATACGTCAATTCTTTCAGTTCCCCCTGTTTCGCTTGTTCACAACAATTATTTTTTCTCAACAGATATTGTGTTTGGTTGGTGGACCAACACTTTCAGTTGCTATTTGCATGTGGGTTTTTGGTGTGTAAAACAAGTTTTTGCTCCCGGTGTTCTCGATTTGGTTTAGATTCACTGCGCTTGGTGTTTGCAATTATCAACAATATCAACTCTGGCAAGAATAATAATTAAAAGTGTTGGGACCAGAGTAACGATATAATAACACACAACTAAAATAAAAGATGAGAAAAAAATAAGAGCTAAAAGAGAAGAATAGTATAATTTTTATTCTGTGATATTTTTCTGTTGCTTTTATATCACAGAAAATTATACTACTAAATATATATGATTAGTGTGATATGAGAGAGGGAGAGAAGAAATTTTGGGATGATTTTAATTTGATGGACCCTTACCCTTTATATAAGTAAAGGAGGGGCCCCCATTTGAAGTTCCCACCGATGTGGGACTTCATTCCTAACAATTCTCCCACTTGAAGATTATGATTAAGTTAATCATATCTTCACACACATTCCTAATACATTACATGTTGCTTATATTTCTAATAGGCCATACAAGGACCGACACCATGTAAACTTGTCACTATTGACTGGCTTTGTCATTATATCTGCTATATTTTCTTTAGTATGGATCTTCTGCATATCCACTCTTTCTTCTTCTACTACTTCACGGACAAAGTGGTATTGTATACCTATGTGCTTTGTTCTAGAATGAAAAACTGGATTCTTTGCAATATGCAAAGCACTCTGACTGTCACAATACACAGTAGTATTCTGCTGCTTGTGTCCAAGTTCCTCCAATAGCCTTTGAATCCAGATTGCTTCCTTACATGCCTCGGTAGCTGCCATGTATTCAGCTTCTGTAGTAGACAGAGCCACAACAGTCTGTAATTTAGACAACCAGCTTACTGCTCCACTAGCAAGTGTAAACACATAGCCAGTAGTAGATTTCCTTTTATCTAGATCTTCTGCAAAATCTGAATCAACATAGCCTTTGACAATAAATTCTGATCCTTCAAAATATAATGCAACATCAGAGGTTCCTTTAATGTATCTAAGGATCCTCTTTACAACATTCCAATGCTCTCTACCAAGATCTGCCATAAACCTACTGACTGCTCCCACTGCTTGTGCAATGTCTGGTCTAATACAAATCATGGCATACATAAGGCTTCTCACCGCTGATGCATACGACACTCGCGACATTTCCTTCCTCTCTGCTTCATCGCTGGGACTCATACTTGAGGATAATTTACAATTTATAGGAAGTGGGGTAGAAATTGGCTTACAATCTTGCATGTTGAAGCGTCGCAAGACTTTCAGTAAATAATTCTTCTGAGAAAGCCAAATCTTCCTGTCTTTTCTGTCTCGGTGAATTTGCATCCCTAAAATCTTGTTTGCTGATCTCAAATCCTTCATATCAAACTCCCTAGCCAATTGTGCCTTTAATTCTTGGATCCGATCTTTGTTAGGGCCTACCACCAACATGTCATCCACATACAACAACAAAATGATAAAATCATTTTCATCAAACTTATTGTAGTACGTACAATGGTCTGACTTTAGTCTGTTGTAACCAAGGCTAATAATGAAGGAATCAAATCTCTTGTACCAACATCTCGGCGCCTGTTTTAAACCGTACAGAGATTTGGTTAATCTGCAAACCAAGTTTTCTTTATCTTGTTCTTTAAAGCCTTCTGGTTGGAGCATATAAATTTCTTCTTCAAGTTCTCTATGGAGAAAAGCAGTCTCTACATCAAGTTGCTCAAGATGTAAATCATGTGCAGCACACATTGCCAGAACAATTCTGATTGTGGTTAATCGGACAACTGGCGAGAATATCTCATTGAAATCAATGCCTTCTTTCTGAGCATATCCTTTAACCACCAATTTGGCACGATACCGCTCCACTTGATCATTGCCATCTCGTTTGATTTTGTAAACCCATTTACAACCAATAGCTTTTCGACCTTTTGGAAGCTCAACAAGTTCCCATGTATTGTTTCTATGTAAGGCCTCAATTTCTTCTTGCATTGCTGTCATCCATAAAGAAGCATCTGAACTCCTCAAAGCCTCATGAAAGGTTGATGGTTCTCCTTCTTCTGTTAAAAGGCAATATGCATCATGACTTGTCATAACATAGTCTGAGTGCCAAGATGGTCTCCTTATCTCACGTCTTGTTTGTTGAGTTTCTCCATCATTGGCATCATTTGATTCTTGTTCTCCGTGCTCTTGTTCTGCTTCAGAGTTGTCATCTTCTTTAACTTTCCTTTCTATCACTACTGAAGTAGTATCTTTGGTAGTACTGTCATCTTTCTGCTCCTTTTGCAGTTCATTTTCTGCAAAGACTACATCTCTGCTAACAACAACCTTGCGGGCAGTGGGATCCCACAAGCGATACCCCTTAACATTGTCAGCATAACCCAAGAATATACATTTCCTGGATTTTGGATCCAGTTTTGTTCTTTCTTGGGAATTGTACATCACGTACACAGGACATCCAAACACATGTAATGAAGAATAATTAGGTGGCTTTCCATTCCATATCTCCATTGGTGTCTTCAAACCAATTGTTGTTGATGGTGATCGGTTTATTACATAACAGGCAGTTTTCACTGCTTCTGCCCAGAAAGATTTAGCCACTCCTGCTGTTCTTAGCATAGCTCTTGTTCTTTCTAGAAGAGTTCTGTTCATCCGCTCTGCTACACCATTCTGCTGAAGTGTATAAGGCACTGTGAATTGCCTTGAAATACCCTCTTGCTTGCAAAATGCCAGAAAATCACCATCTACATATTCTCCTCCATTGTCTGTCCTTAAGCACTTAATTCTTTTCCCAGTTTCAAGTTCTACTAGTGCTTTGAACTCCTTGAATACTGGAAACACATCTGACTTCTTCTTGATTGGGTACACCCACAATCTCCTGGAGTAATCATCAATAAATGATACAAAATATTTTGCTCCTCCAATAGATACTTCCGGTGATTCCCATACATCAGAATGAATCAAGTCTAGTATGTGTTTGCTTCTTGTAGTCACTTTGGCAAACTTCAATCCATGCTGCTTACTTGTCACACAGTGTTCACAAAATGGTAAGGTTACCGTTTTGAGCCCTGGTAAGAGATTACGTTCCGCAAGAATTTTCAGACCTCATTCTGACATATGACCGAGTCTATGATGCCACATCAGTGTTTTATCTTCTTGACTTGTTGCAACTGATGCATCTACTTCTTGCAACGTATCTCCCAAAAGCATGTATAAATTGGTTGTGATCTTTTCTGCTTTCATCACTACCAAATTGCCTTTAACTACCTTCATGATCCCACCTTCAATGTGGATCTTGCACTTGAGGTCATCCAATTGCCCAATGGACAATAGATTCTTTTTCAAACCCTTCACATGTCGTACCCCTTGAATTGTTCGAATGGTACCATCATATATTTTCAATTTGACAGTACCAATTCCAACAATTTCTAGGGCATGATCATTTCCCATGAATACAGATCCTCCTGAGATAGGTTCATAAGTAGAAAACCAATCTCGGCATGGAGTCATGTGCCAAGTTGCACCTGAATCCAATATCCAACATTCATGGAGTTGTCTTCCGCCTCTAGAATTTACTACTTCACTGTATAGAATTTCACCATCATCTGAGGTACTAACAACACAACCTTGTGAGGTTGATGCTTCAATATTCTTCCCTCCTCCACTCTTCTTATTCCAATAATCTTTCTTCACGTGCCCTCTCTTGCCACAGTTGTAGCATTTGAGGTTCTTCCTTCTCTGAGATTTTGATCTACCATGATTCTGGCTCCCACTGGAACCACGTTCCATTGATCTTCCTCTCATCATCGTCAATGCTTCTGCCTGTTTAGAATTTTCCAGTCTATCTTCCTTATTCTTTCTCCTGGATTCTTCTTCAAGAACTGCTCCAACAACATCATCAAAGGATAGACGACCAATGATGTTGTTGTTTGTAATATTGATGATGAGTTGATCATATGAATCTGGCAAGCTCTGGAGTAGAAGTTCTGCACGTTCATTTTCTACAATGTTGAAATCTGAAGCTGTAAGTTGAGCAAACAGCGTATTCAGATTGTTGATGTGGTCTGTCACAGGTGTGGACTCACTCATTCAAAGAGTGTAGAGTTTCCTTTTTAAGAATATTTCGGTGTGAAGTGACTTGATCTCGTACAATTTGATCAGTGTGTCCCAAATCTCCTTTGCAGTCTTCTTCTCTGCAACACTAGATAACACTGAATCTGCTAATGCCAAGTGCAAATTGGCAACAACATTGTTATCCATTTCTCTCTATTTTTCTTCTGAAATATCTGCAGGTCTGCCTTCAATTGCATCAAGACAATTGTCTTTTCTCAAAATTGCTCTTATCTTCAATTTCCACAGGGAGAAATTACTCCCATTAAATTTCTTTATCTCATATTTTGCTGTCATATTTTCTCTCTTTATTATACCGACTTATGTACTTCTCACTATGAATAGTATTGTCTACTGGAATAACACAGGTACTGGAATAACACAGGTAGACCATGAACTAACACACCAAAAAATTCTCAGGAAAGAGATGTGGGTCACTATAGACACTCTTAAATACCAAATCTTTCCTAATCAGAACCCTTTCTCAGATAGCAGTTTCACACTACCAAACTTTTCCGGTAACAACTCTTTTTTGATGTGAAAGATCGGATTAGAGATAATAAAAGCAACAGAAAATTATCACAGAATAAAAATTATACTATTCTTCTCTATTAAAATTTATCCCTCAAAATAAAGAACCACCACTACTAAATATATATGATTAGTGTGATACGAGAGAGGGAGAGAAGAAATTTTGGGATGATTTTAATTTGATGGACCCTTACCCTTTATATAAGTAAAGGAGGGGCCCCCACTTGAAGTTCCCACCGATGTGGGACTTCATTCCTAACAAAAAGAACCTATACAATGAGTCAATGTTGGAAAAATAAAAATACAAAAGATATATATATATATATATATATTTGTACAATTATTGATAAATAATGAGTTAGGTAGAGTATTGCATGACCTGAATTAGTCGAATGTCGAATGTCTAATGTATTATTTGAATACTGATAGTTTTAGACCAAAAATATTTATCGTTGAGTTAATATTTTTTTAAAATCACATCACTGCTAGTAAAAAAAAAATCAAAATTAGAGATAGAAGGGTTTTATCACTCAGTAGTTATCTTTTTTCTTTTTTTAACTAACAAATATTTGAATTTTGAGGACTTTTTTTTGTCAACAAAGATTGAGGATTTGTTTTCGGCCTACGGATATACACCATGAAGCGAGACAAAACAAAGAGCCCAAAGAAAACAGCGATCCAAAACAAAAGGATCACATTCACACTGAACAATACGAGGGTACACTAAAGATAGATACATTACAATCAGCACAAGTACAATACGACATCGATTTCTCCATCGCCAAGAACGCCAAGAACGCCAAGAATTTGGGCTATGGTATATCCATATTATCTGAATAGACCCAAGAAGGTGTGACATAATCCTTTGATCTTCACAAGGAAGTTTTATACAAAATGGATGTACCCAACAATTTGAGCTAAAAATGGAAGTTACGTACATAAAACTTGCAAAAATTTTACTATAGTAATGGAAATTTTATATGACGTAATTTTCTCAGACATTTCTGTTCTTTTTAACACGTTATTACAACTGTTGGTGTAAAATAACTCAAATTAAAGTTCATATTTATATAAACAATTTAAGAAATTGAAGTTATTTGAAAAATTAACTGGACAACTAATTAATTTATATTAAACAACTTGAACACATAATATTATATTAATATAATATTAAAATTAAATATCATTTATTTTATTTATTTATATATTTGTTGTCAATCAATTAATTAAATAATTCTATAGAAAAATAAAAAATTTCTATATAAGTGGACAGAGCAAAAAGACAATGAAATGGACAGAATTGATAATTACAGTATAATATGTTAATAATGGAACTCTTTCTAGTGGAATACATATATTGGAGGATTTGAGACTGGTTCAATAATGCACTTGGAACTGAATGCATAAACTATTCCTGGGGCATACGCTACAACATGATCATCATCTAGCAGCACCTTATCAGCCAGTTGGGTTTAAGGAAAGGATTCAAGGTATATGGTTTGCTGACGGACATGGTAGAAAGTACTTGTCAGTTGTATTGATATAGATAAATCCATTCCATCAAAATTAAGTATAATTTCTTCATGTTTTTCAGATTTCTTTTTCAATTGCTTGTACTTCCTCAATAAATCATACTTTGTCTGTTGTGGTTAGAGATATTCGCAGGTTGAATTGATTGATAGAGCAAAGAAAATCAGTATAAAGAGAGCCAAAAGAAGTCAAATTCTCCACAAAGCACATTAAATAATAAAGCATCACAGTAAATAAAAACAGTAATATACGACAGACTTTGTTTTGGCATAATAAAATACATCAGGCAAGATGTTGTTTTTGCCAGTCCAACAAATAGTTTTTGATTCACAGAGCTAATTATCCCACATAGGATAGAGTTAACTGTTTTCAGCAACAGTTAAGCTTTGGTTTCAGAAGGTGCTTCAGTTTCCCAGAAGCTAGTCTTCTTGCCAGTCTTAGAGACAGTCTGCAGAACTGTGTCTGGCTGGACATTTCCCTTCACTACCACCTTCTGTTCCTTTAAATCAATGTCATATGATTCCACACCTGTAAATAAGAGCACTACTTATTAGTATCCAACATTGGAAGAGGAACTTTGACTGGTTTACTATCAAAGCAATGACTTCAATCCATGCTACGATTCCACCTTCGTGTGTTTAATTCTATCATATTCTTTTACCCAGGGAACAAAAATCATAGAAACAAATAATTTTTGAAACTTTCCATTATTTTCTTATAGATATAATTGATTGTAGCCAATTTTCCATCCAGTAAGCGAAAATATACATAAACAAGAAACAAGCAGGCACCAAAATCAAAATATATAGGTGAAGAAGGGGAAGTGGAAATTTTTTGTTGATACAAGAAACACAAATGCTTTGATTAACAACACTCTGACAAAGGACATGGAAAAGAAAAAATCAACATGTAAAGGAAAGAGAAGCTTCCAACCTAGTTGGTGGCAGACTAGTAATCATGATTGAAAGGGAAGATTTCAGAACAAAACTTGTAAAGGTCAGATTATATGCCAGAGAAGGTGTTAATTTAGCATATTTATATACATGCCCTTCCTTTTCTTTTTGACATATTTATCCATATTTAAGAAATGAACGAAAGGATCCTTAGATATGACACTTGAATTAAAGATAAGAAACATAGCATATACACCAAATGCATCTAATATGGACAGAGTTTCAAGAAAATAACTTCTAAGTTCAACACCCATGACAGGTGCACAGGAAGTGGAGAAAATGGGGTTAAAATATCAAACCAGAATTTTCTGAATTAAAAAATAGAATGAATTATGAAAAGAGATCACCTAACGAAGGCTGTAAACAGCTCTATGAAGAAACTAAATCAAATTCAGTTACATTCTAGTAACCAGAATTAACAGAAAGTAATTAAGAACCTGTGCAGGATATTATTAATGATTTCCAAGAATTAATCACAAACATGAAGCATCCAATAGGAGACATTAAGTACAGAGAGAAGAGTATTCACAAGAGCTTTGAGCTATTTAACATTACCAATGACCTCAGAATGTTCTACTAACTTAAAGTCAGGCAAAGGCATATGTCACAGAACGCACAGTTTTAAAACCGATAAGAAAGGGAAGGAGGCTTCAGAATCAAAGAAACTAAGAAACAGCTGACACATATTCGAAACGACAAACTTATGACAACCTGGATGTCACACATACAACATATCTTCATTTGATAAAAATTGACAAAAGGCATAGAACTACAAACTAAAGTAGCTAGTGTAAGATAACCATTTTCATTTCAATACCATTTTCATGTCAATATTGGACTAATAATTAATTAAAATGATGTTAAATGCAATAATGGCAACTTCAATCCAAGGGATTTAACATACCATCCAACTTTCCCAGAACTCTCTTCACTGCTCCAACACAGCCTTCACAGGACATTCCAACTTTGAGGACAACAGTCTACAATCATAATGAGAAATTTGTCAGATAAAGAGAGAGGGAGAGTGAAAAGAATAAATAATCATCTTAATTCTTAATCCCCAATACCCACATGTAAAATAAACACATTCATATATTGAATTCAAGAAACGTGTGCTAACATAATTAGAATGCAAAAAATATACAAGTCAAGATAAACAAAAGAAAGTAGCCAATGTTGATTCATATATAAAGGCTGCAAATACAAATTGAAAGCAATGCCTACAAGCTTTAAATGAAAAACAAAACTTTGAACACAAGGGCATGCAACAACTTCCTTAGATCATCCAGACAGATTCTAATTACCTCGTAAAAGAAGAATATATCAGGCCATAATCTAAACATTCTTAGCAAACAAAAAAGGACCGATCAGCCTTAGTATAAGATTTGAACTTTTACCAACACTAACAGATAATATTCAAATTCAAAAACTCCAGAGCATAAGAAGCAATCATATCCCTCAATTGTCAGAGTAAAAGATAGATATAGATGTGTTACAAGAAACCATGGAGCTGGACTACTCAAAATGGCTTATAGAGAAACAAGAGAACCGATGGTAGATGAAAACCAAATGCATATGCAAAAATTTTCTCCCAATTAAGTCGTTGCACCGGAATTCCTAATTTTTAAAAATAAAAAATTCCTGGAATCATAATAATTTCATAAAACAATAACAATAATTGCAGACACCTCAAACGCCAGGAACGACGAATCAGAGAAAAGAGGGGAAATAATTGCAAAAGCGAAAGTCAGCGGAAATAAGAGCCAGGAAAGAAAAGGTGCTGACCTGAGACATGGTTAAGGGAAGACGGAAGAGAAAGAAAAAGAAGATGAAAATTGATAAGATGGAGAATGGGTTTGAGAGAGTTGCTTAATTTATAAGCAAAAAACAGAGGCAGCGACAGTTTTGGGGGCTGGTGAGGTGAGAGAAACAACAACGTTGGTCTGCTGAGGTTAGGTTGACCATTAGAATTGTAAAACGGGTTAAAATTGGTGCGCTTCTTCACCCATAAATTTGAAAGGAATTTTATACATTTAAATAGCATTACATAGTTTAAATATCATAAAAGTTAATAATATTAAGATAGACTATTAATTTTTACTATTTACGATACATGTTTAATATAATATTAATTTTATAATTATTCTAATAAAAAATATAGAATATTTTTTCAATTTTAAAAAATCATAAAAATTTAATTAAGAATTTGTTAAGTCTGATAATTAATTTAACCCGTACATTATAATTTAATTATATATATATATATATATAATATTTTTATTTAATTTATGTTATTTTGTTTTTAAAATTTCAAGCCGTTCAACCAAAAGAGAAAATGAGAAGGATTGAACCCAATTGACGGGGTCATGGTAGAACGGGCCGTCCCTAGTTGACAACAGAACCTTATCGTATGCGATTACGTATCCCTTTCTTTATGTAGCCTACCTTCTTGTTTCTAATTTGTTCAAAACTGACTTTACTAGATTTTTGCATTCAAATTCGTCAAAATTCCATTCTCATTTTTATACAAATAATTTTTTAAGTAGTGATTAGCGGTGAAAACTATTTTAATTAAAATTACTAAAACAATATTATTTTAACTTGTTCAATTTTATTTTAAAAAAATAGATCTAAGAGTCCGTTTAATAAATATATAGAATATAATAAAAATAGAATAAAATAATAGACAATTAATCTCTTATCTTGTTTAATATAATTTTTAACAATATTTATTTTAATAAAATTATTTAAAAATTAATCATTAAAATAAGTGAATCATCTGTATTTAAGAAGTGTTAAATAAAAATAACGGCAAAACACATTAGACATCCGTCACAGTCTATATGTGTGGCTAATGTCATTCATAATATAGTGTTATGACACATGTTATATTCTCTTTGTTTCATGTATTTTCTACCTTAATTTAAATTTGAATTTTTATTTTTATATTTATTCAAATTTAAAATTTTCTTTCACTTTAACTAAACTTTAAAATTAAATTTTTTATCACATTAATTAAAATTTTAATTTGCTTGAATTTTGTCTAAAATTTGAAATTATACAATTCAAATTTTGAATTTAAACTTCAGTCAAAATAGAAAGAAACTAAAATTTAAAATTTGAATTTAAGATTTAATTAATGCATAAAAAATTAAAATATGAATTTTAAATTTAAATTTTATCATAAATAAAAACTATAAATCAAATTTTAGTTAAAAATAAAATAAAAATATTAAATTATAATACTTAAAAGTGCCAAACACTCAAAATGCAACATACATGCAGCTTTAAAAAATGAGACTTTTTTTATTAATAAAATAATTCATTATTATTAGTTGAGAATTACGATTAATTAAATATTATTTATAATATTAATAAAAATTTAATAATTAAATTAAATATTTAAATTAAAAATTATTTTTAAATTTAATTTTTAAAAATATATTAAAACTAAAAAAAATATTTTGGAGAGACTAAAGCTCTTGCCTTACCTACATGGCCTTAGGGTGCCCCTGGTAGAGCCTGTTACTTTTATTTAACAATTTTTTATACAGTTGAATTTATCTATTTTGATAATTAATTATTAAATAATATTATTTAAATAAATATATTTTAAAATATTTTATTTTGATTAAAAAAAGGCCGAAGAGCATAGCATTAAATTTTGCCGATGACAATGACATCTTCAAGTATTAGCTTTTCCAGTAATAAGCTTTGCTGGTGTCTATTGGTTTTGGGGGTAATTTTGGGGAATTATATCATACGTACGGTGATTGGTCACGTAATGTATGATTTTTATTTTCTGTTTTTTAAAATACAATATAAATTTGTATTATATTTTATTTTTAAAGATAGAAAATTATTTTTAAAATAAAAATTAAACGTGCTCTTCATTTCTTTTATGATTTTTTAAAGTGTCATGGCCCCTTTTCATTCAGATTTTGGGTCGTATATGAATCAATTTGATTGAGGATCAGAAGATATAAAATTTAAATTAATTAGTTTAGTTTTGAAAAAAATTATCGATAAATTTGAAACCAATTTAATAAAAAAAAAAACGAGTTATATATAGTTCAATTTAGATTATTGAGTTGACAACTTATAATATAATTCATAATAATATAATAAACTTGACTAAAAATATGAAAAATATACACGAGCTCGTCACGAAAAGATAAAAAGGGTCACAGAGAGAAATCATATTTAAAACCCAAATCTCATAACCATAAATATAAAAACATGATGAAGAGAAAATGTTTCAATAAAATAAAATACAGATCAAATTGACTTTGTTGATTCAGTTTCAGAAAACATAAACTTAAGAACTGAATTAATAATGTTCCGGCTTTAATTATTCATTTTTGATCGGACCTAATAAACATGTAAAAACCAAATTAATTTAATTGGTTTAATTTGAAATTTTCGAATAGACTCAAACGTACGAATGTTATATATAGTTTACGCTTGACAATACAGGATTATTAGTTAATATCAGGTCCATAATTACCATTGCAATAGAAGCTGGATGGGAAAACATCACATGAGGTTTTACACATATTGATTTCTGGTATGATATGTTCAACTCAATAATTCAACCATAACATCGTAATTAAGGCTTTACGAAGCAGTAAATATATGCTAAGATAATATAATTCCATAAGGATCAGAAATTTTCCTCTTTAAGTTTGGCAAGAGAAGATTGCAAAATCAAGTATATCGCATGCCAACCATTTTGAGAAAGATGCACTGTCTCCCAAAAGAAAGAAAGCTCCGGTTTTTCACATAAAGAATATTTCTTTGTTCCTTTCTCGTCGACACTTCCGCATGAATGTTCTAAGCTCACTCCCTCACAACATGGTTGCAACGGATTCATCAGCGTTGGATTTTCTGAAAATATTTTATTGGAACAGTTTAATTGGAACATGGAAAACCTTTTAAAAAAAAACAATGCAGGAAAGTATAGTGATCTTTGGTGAAAGCACAAGGAAAACTTACCAGCACGCTTTTTTTGCAATGTTGCAATTATGGAGAGGAAAGAGTTGTATAGGTCTAGTGTCAGAAAAACAGATTTTCCCATTTCCTTGTTAAGTTGGTGCACAGTTTGAAGCAAAGTTTGGGTGTGATTTTGGGAGACCAAGTTTAAAGGCTCAATGCATTTCTCATACGAAGATGCCGCAGTTAACACGGGCATACAACCTATAGGCTCTAATAACCCAACTGCTATTTTGTTTACTCCCAAGCTGTGGATGCGTCTAAGGTTTAAAGACATTTGCTTAATGAGGGATGCAGTGAGGACATTTATACCCTGCCACGCGTAGAAAAACGCACGAAAGATATAATACTGTTTTACTGCATATAATTATCATATGGATTAATCTTTGTTAGAATACTATAAAAAATATATAAATTATTAATATAAACATGGTGAGTTTATATTAATAATATAATATATTATATTAACAAATAATTTCATTAATAAAAATATTAATATATAGTATCACTATATTAAATGTTAATATAATAGCATAGTGTAAACCTTCAAAACATGAGATTTTTTTTATTGAAATAAAAAAGAACATATTTTTTTTAAAAATATATATTTAAATAAACGATTGGGGTTAGCCTACGTGCATGCATCATTAAGAACCAGTGGATATGTTACACAAACAGGAAGGACTATGAGAAATTAACATAAATTAAATCTTCTAGATATTTCTAATTTAGTCGGAATAAAAGAACAGTAGTAGAGAATTGGATCAACAAACTATACCAAAAGATGCATGTAGACATAAACAATTAGCTTAACCACTCACCTGAAGGCTCCCGTGATTTCGTTGTAGAAAAGTAGCATAGTCGTTACCCGCAGCGTTCACAAGAGCAACTGAGGATTCTAGGTCGTGTTTGGTATAGACATTTTGTTCAATTAGCTTTTCAAAATCGTCGATTTGGACAGTCATGTTTGGTCCATCAACAAAAGTATCGAAAATACCAGTCCCTCCATGAGCAAAGTTCATACCATATTGTAGGTCTGAGGAATTTCTTAATATATATGGTGTCGGGGATCTAATTTTCAGATAGGAAGCTGCATGTACAACAATATCAGTATAATTTAATATATTGTAGTATATGCCAATTTTTTATATTTGCAGAAGTTTTTAGTTAGTATACTATATTATAATGTTAGTATAAAACTTATAAATTTATACTAATATTTTGATCATTGTTAGAAAAATTATACTAACAAATATTACTTTAACGTTAAGGCGTGTTAGTAATTAAGTACACACAATATGGTGTAGAATCAGCAATTAAAGCAGAAATTAGAAGTACTTAATCCTTTGGTCCGAAATTGGAAGTATATATTGTATATATATAGAGGGAGAGAGAGGAAAGGTATACCAACGTAATCGGTGAGGACATGACCATCAGAGAACCTTCCAGCAGGATTACCAGGAAAAGTGATTCCACTAGGAAGCTTATATGATGGTGATTTCAAAAAGTTTCCTGTGTCAACGTAGGAGTCTCCAAAAACAAACAGTTTCATTCCATGTGACTTCTCAGCCCCTTTCACTACTTCTGCAACATTTACATAACTATATCACCAACACACCAACCAATAAAATGAAAATAAAAGCCAAATAGTTTGATGTTATGTTAGCTGAGAATGTGTACCTGTTAAAATGAAGAGGAGAAGAAGCAGAGTGATCATTGCAGATGGAGTTTGCTTCACCATTGATTATACCCTTCGGTGTGTTGGCTTACCAAAATGTAATGTAACACTAGAGTTGCACCTGTTAGATTTAGATTAGGGGTAAGTATATATAGAAATTTACAATGGACTAACTCCAATTAATTAATCAGGTTATGCCAACTCTATTTTTGGTGCGAAAAGGAGCAAGGCCCATCTAGTCAATTTACTTATGCCCACAACTCTACATTTGTGTCAATGGAATGTCATTGGCCATTTAATGGGAAGATCCAACTGATTTCATCATGTATTGTTAATGACTCGTACAAGAGAGGGTAGTGCTGTCATTGACTTTCATGATATGCAATCTCACCTAATTCAATGAGATATTCATATCTTTTCTAGTCTAAACCAATCTTCTCTAATTTGCTTAGATGACTTGATCATCCTTATAACTTGACCCCGGTGCACCGTTACTACTAACATATACCAATTAATTAGAAATGTTTGATGATGGTCCAAGATGGGTAAGTTAATAACAAATTATAAAGCATAATGAAAGAAAATTATGAGTCTAAATTGTTAAGGTATTTTCAGATAAACAATTTACTCAAACTTATCGTTTATAATTTTTTCTCACACTTACAAATCAGATTTATTTTCAAACTTTTAATATGGTATTATATCTTAGTTTAAAAGAAAAAGTTAATATTTTTATCTTACAGGTTTTAGATATTTTTTGATTTCATCCGTCAATTATTATTTAATTTATTTTAGTCGTTTAATTTTTAAAAACATTTTAAATAAGTCATTTATTATAATAAATGTTAATTTTCTTAATTTCTTTTAATCTTTTTCTACTTGTTTATTCTTTTTCTTAAATCTGTAATTCTTTATGCTCTCATTTCTTCCTTATTTTTCTTTTTTATTCTTTTTCTTCTTCTTTTATTCGTCCTTCTATTGTGTGAGAATTTTTTTTTAAAAGATAGTGGTGCATAGTAAAAAATTCCAAAAGCAAAGGTAGGAGGAGCCCATATAATTATTGGTTGAAACATTTATAAGCAGCAATGTTAACATATGTGCAATCCAAGCTTTTTAGTTTCCTAACCCAAATGTTAACTAGGTATTATTGTCTTTTTTTAAAAAAATATCTTAGTAGAGAGATGAAAAAGAAAAAAAATAAATAGAAGGGGAAGATAAATAAAAAGGGGGAGGAAGAAGAAGATGTGAGGAGAAAGAAATTAGAAAAAATGAATAGTATTTATGTAAAAAAATTTAACATATGACAAATAACCTATTTAAAGTGTTTTTAAAATTTAGAAGATCAAAATAAAATAAAAAATAGTTAAATAACAAAATTAAAACTTATCGTAAAGGTAGATGAAAAAAAACCTAATTTTACTAAAAAAATATAAAGCAAAAATAAAAAAAAATTGAAAGATCTAAAATAAAAAAGGGTCAGGTCAAACAAAAAAATCTACATAAAAAAAGCTTCCATAAAAATCTTTTTGGCTTAAATTTACTTTACTTCTTAAATTTTTAATTTTAGTTTCTATTTCTTAATTTTTTTTAAATTCAGCTTTTTTGTCTCTTTTATTGACGTAAGATTAAAAAAACTGACATGTAATACAAAATTTTTTTTGGCAGAATAACTTTTTACTTAGTCATTAGATATAAAAAGTGTTAAATTTTTAAAAATTAGAGTAGAATTAATTTTTTACAAAAATAAAATTAACACTTCACAAAATATAAGAATTTACATCATATTCAAGCCAATCATAATAATAATAATAATAATAATAATAATAATAAGTAATGGAAGAAGAGGAAGTCACTTACAAGAGAGGAATCTCACCTTGCTCGTTGCCTGATAAGATTGTTGGGCAAATATCTAATCTAATATATAAAATCTTAGCATGGAGAGAGAACAAGCGAGAGAGAGCAACATTTTTACCTTTTTTTACTTTGAGTTTTTTTAATAAAAGGTTATAATGATGTAATTTCGGCTATTAAGATATTTAAGGGCAAAGAGAGTTTATTTTATCTTATAAAAATTTAGTTATATATTTTAATATTATTTTTTCACATAATTTATAATTAATTATTTTTAAAATAAAAAATTAAAATTGACTAGTTCGCCTATCAGATTTTTAATAAAGAAATTATGATTATAATTATAATTAATAAGAATAGCTTATAACTTATTGACAAATTTATAATTTATTGACTTAATGAATAAGCTTGCAGAACTTTTTAGTAAATATAAAATAAAAAAATTATAAATTTTAAAAGCAAATTTTTATAAGTATTTTTATCAATGTTTTTATTATATTTTTATCTTTTATTTTTCTAAAATAACTTATTTATTATACAATTAAAATCTGACGTATATAAGTTAATATTATAATCTTTTATTCTACTTTTATAATTTTTTTTATTCTTCTAGCTCTTATGTATAAATGTATTTTATATTAAAAATATATGTAACTTAAAATATTTTATATTTAAATATATATATATATATAAATTAACTTTTTATATAATTAATTATAATTATATAATATTATATGTTCTTTAAGTCATTTAAGATAAATCAGTCATTTATAAAGTTAATTTGTTAAATAAATATTTTAATTTTATAAATTATTTATATGGCTATAAACTTTGGGTTATGATATTCGTGGATCCTACACTTAACTTTTCTCTCTTTCTGAAAAAAAGAAAAAAGAAGCTCTCCTAATACATATTTGATGGAATTTAGTAACTCTGAGAAAGAACGTAAAAGCATCAGCTTTATTCACATCTAAATAGTCACAACGTATTTCTAAATTAGATTTCAAAACAAATGGAATTTTTCTATGATCTTCCACTCACTATAGAACTCAAACATATTGTAAATATTTAAGGTTTTATGAAGAATAATACAACCACGACGATCAAAAGTTTTTTAGTGCATGCGAACGATTTTGAAAAGGGTGAGCCGTGTCCCAAGAGAACGACAGTTCTGGGTTCTCACATAAACCACATTTCTTTGCTCCATTTTCATCCACACTTCCACAAGAATATTCCAAACTCACTTCCTTACAACTTGGTTGCAACGGATTCAACAGTGTTGAATTTTCTGTATAATGGACAAAAAGTAAAAAAGTAAGAAAGTCATCATCAATTGATTTTCTGTAATATTTTGTTTTTTTTTATTAGAAAAAGAATGTAATTGCTTGGTCAAAATCAACTATATAATGCACTTACTTGACAGTAACAAAATATAACTAGACAAGTTGAAGTTCAAAATAGCAAATTCTCGTATGCATATATATTTTCTCAATCTCTACTACACTCCTTTTGACATATTTTTATCATGAGAAAAATTTACATTAGTCATGTTAAATGATATGAGTCGAATATATATCTTATTTTGGACCATTACATTTTTATCTACGGTTTATAATATTTTAATACTTTTACTTTTTGCAACAAATGAGAGAACTTTAGAATCATCCAAACTTGACAAGAAAGATATAATAAACTTGTCCTCCAAATTGTTGTCAGTTCATTGGAAGTTAATGCATAATAGTAGTTTCACTAAGTTAGCTTTACTTTAAGTTGAATATATATATTAAAAATAAAAGTTGAATAAAACATTAAATTTATATGAAAGAATCATATAACTTGTTTTATTATTTTTTATTTAATTTTGAATGTCGGCGAGAAGGTAGTCGTTCTAGTAGGGTTTTCAGCTTTCTTTAGCGATGGGTTCCAAGTTCAGAGTGATCATTCCCTTGTACACAAGACGGTGCGTCGCTGGATCATAAGTCCATACCTCTCTCTCTGGAGTCTGTTCACTAAATCATCGCCCGTTGTGGATCCATCTGCCATACAGTCATGCAAACACACAAGAGAATACAACACAAAAGAAATACAACAGAAAGGGTGAGTTCAACATAAAAAAATTTACTAATCATCGAATCAAGCAAAAAGAATGAAAAGGAATAAAAGAATTAGAATTTAAAGAAACACTTATTTTTGGAATCCACATCCAATTTCACACAGTCAATTTCGACACAAACAATAAAGTCAAACAAAATCATAAATGAAATGTATGCTGCTCATGCAATCATTACTTTCTCAAGTTCCCAGCATTTCCTACAGTCAAGGTGATCAGAGACCCTTATTCCCTACAAGGACACCAAGTACACATATACACAAGAATATTTTTCCCTCCAATTCATCTTTATTCCTCAAGAATGAGTTCTACCATGATCCTCAACAATGCTTGCTTTCATCAGGATTAGTGAAGGCTTGCTGGCGACGTGTCCCAACCACGGTGAGCTATTACTCGCCATTGGAGCAACCCCTTTCACTACCCCCAAGGTCTTTCTCTTGAACCTGAACACTCCACATTTCTCAGCTGTGCCAAACTGTGACCTTGACTCCCCCTTTCACCTCCATGGATAAGAATAACTCAAACAACTACTATATACACACTTAAAATTTCTCAATTTTCAATGTTGTCATTCTCGAATGACACACTTAAGTAGCAGAGAAAACATTATACTTGGCAATCATTTTCTCAGTTCAAAGTGAACACAACAAGCAAATCATAATAATCAGAACCAGATGATTAACCACCATAAAGCAATAATATCAACCATAATGGAATGGAAATGTTACTATTTTTTTTATCCTTTTCTCTAAATGGATTTTTAGAACATGTTCAAAAATAGAAACAATCATGCATATACACATACTGTTTCAAAAAAACAAACACGAAAGGAGAAAAAAGAGAGAGGGAAAAATGAAAATAACTATAATAACTTTTCAGAAAATATTAGAAGGAAAAATACATGTTTTAAGTGAATAATATTAGAATTTTCACACAGGGCAGCCGCGGTTTCAACTCCATGCATGTTTGATTTAGAGTTAGTGATAAAATCTTAAGTTTTACAAAAGTGGTTTATTTGCTCTCGACCAAGTGGAAACAAGAGAAGGAATTAGGTTCTTCCTATGGTTTTCGTCAAGATAGGTGTAGACAGAGAGAAAATATGTAAATTTCATAAGGAAAACCACATGCAATGAGATACAGGAAAATATGGATTGGAAAAGAGATAAAGAACATCATAAAAATGATAAAGAGCAACATGTTATTTTAAAAATCATCCTCTGTACCCAACCGAAAAATAAGAATGGTTAAGAACTATGAAAATACCAAACCATCATTGACATGCAAAAGTACCTCAACCATGATCGCGTTCATGTAGGCCACAAAACATGATTTTTACAACATCATTCAAACAGAATCATCACGAGATGAGAGAAGATCTTTTACATGCAAGTTTTGGTGAAAGTTTGAGGTGAGGGCGAGAAAAGAGGGCACATGCAATGTTCATTATTTAAACAAACAGCCACACACAGTTAAGCACAAACAAGAACTTCCCTTACCTTGCTTGGAATGAGAATGAGAAAAGAGTCAAAGGTTTGCATCTTCTCCCTCCAAGTCTAATGCATTTGAAAGGATGTGACTCTTGGTTTACCCCTCTGAAAGGTCACGCCTCCTTGGAGCCTTGTGCATGCAAAACGCCTCCATAATGAGCAATAAATGCAACGAGTTTTGAGGAAGTGGAAAAAGGCAAAGGTTAATGCTATAAACACGTTTTCAGAATTAATCATTATTAAGGGGTAATTCCTGAATGGCGGGTTGGCCTTGATTAGGGTGAGTAATTAAGGTAGGTCGACAATTTTTGAATTTATTTAGGGAGGGAATAAGTGCAAATCCCTCCATATTCCCATGGAGATTTAAATGCAGGTGGGAGGCAATTTAAATGAGCTGAGTGGCGGTTTAAATAGGTAGTTGAGAGGTTCCTCGATTAAGTGTGATCAAGGCACATTTATTAGGGAATTTCTCAATGAATGACCACGATTTTAAATGCATGATTATGGGAAAACGACTAGTTATGATGGTTGCTTGGGAATATGAAGAACGTGTGTTTAAAGACAATGAACAAAAGCTTCAAATTTTGATTAAGGCTAGTCTTTCTCTCTCTCCAAACATTAATGAAGTTTTTGGCTACACATTTAAGGGAAAGTTCAAATAATTCCCACATGAATTGTGGTGAATTATGGTGGGATGGCTGCTCATAATTAGGGTAACTAGGAAAATGAAAAATTACATTAAGTACTATTATGAAGGGTTTAAATCTATGCCATTAAGGCTGATTCTCTCTCTCTCCCCCAGGTATTAAATGAAAATTCGGTTACCATATTTAAGAGGGAAAGGCTTAAATAGGCAAGGTGTCTCTTGGGTTCCTTTTGCTTCATGTGAACATAATGTGAAGATGAGTGATTTCACAATAAATGGTTGATTTAGTGCACATGGTTAGGAGAAAACAAAAAGGCTTGGGTATAATGTGACTAGGGTTAAGTGAGTATTTAATGGTAGAGAGAGAGAGTCATTAATAACGGCTAGGGCAGACAAAAAGTCACACGAGTAACTCCTCTCTCAAATAAACCCTAAACCCTAAAAAACAGTAATACAATATAAACAAGTAAAATGGATTAGGAGGATAATAATAGCAACACTAATAATAATAACAATAATAATAAAAACGGGGTCCACTTATTCTAATCAGAAGGAAATTTTGTCCCAGAGTTTGTCTTGCTATCCTAAGGTTTATAAAATATTCCACTACATGACCATGAAACAAAATTATTCATACATACATATAAAGTGTATCAATCATCATTACATCATCGCACATAAAAATTTCTGTAAGCAAGGAACATAAGTCAATTGGACAATCAACACTAAAAAAAAAATGAGCTAAAAATCAACCAATCTCAGAAAACATCTTAATTTGTAACAAGAACTAAGTCAGAGTAAAAAAAAAATGAAGCAAAGAGTCACTAAATAACAACAAACAATCCATGTTGAGTAAATCGGAATTGGGGATGTTACAGATTTTCTGTACCTTTCGCTTAAGCTACCAAATTTTGCTTAAGTGAAATCTATTCTGGCTTGATTTCTTTTGAACATGGTCCAAGCACGTATATATTTCGCTTAAGCTACAAATCTTTGCTTAAGCGATTATATTAAGTTGTACAGGTTAATGCATTTTCTAAAAATTCGCTTAAGCAGATAAAACTAGCTTAAGCTAATTAAGTTTCGTTGGATTTGTAAAACGCTAGCTCAAGCTCCACCAAAATTCGCTTAAGCCATTTAAAATTCACTCAAGCTAATCACACTGCCTAAAACATGTGCTCTCTGTTTTAAATTCGCTTGACAATAATTAAATTTGTTGGTCTTGGCTTGAACGAGGCAAGAATAGCTTAAACAAAATAGGTGACTGAAAAGCATGCCTCTCTAGTCTATTTTTGCTTAAGTTACAAATCTTTGCTTAAGCTATTCTACAGGTCAATGCATTTTCTGATACATTCGCTTAAGCGGATAAAACTCGCTTAAGCTAAATTAGTTTCGCTGGATTTGTAAAAAGCTAGTTCAAGCTCTATCAAAATTCGTTTAAGCCATTTAAAATTTACTCAAACTAATTACATTGTCTGAAACATGTGTTCTTTGATCTATTTTTGCTTTAAATTTTTCTTTTTTACTTGAGAGAGCTTAAGCGAATTTCAGTTAAAAGTATCTTTTGACTTACTCGTGTGCGCTTCCGAGAGTTCAAACCCTTTCTTGCATCGCTTAAGCGACGCTTTCTCTAATGGTAGTCGGTGGCAGCTGGGTTGGCTTCTCGAAAGAGATGAGATAATTGCAGTTACCATTCTCTTAAAGGAAGAAAAGCATTCATCGACTTTTAAGATAGTAACAGTGTGTCGGCACAAAACGGGGTACACACTTTCCGATGAATTCATCTCACATTTTGAAGGGACAAAACTTAGTTCCAGTCTCTTAAATATAATTTTTAGCCTTTTTTTAATTAAAATTAAAATTTTCTATTAACAATTTATAAAAATATTAAATATATTTTTAAACTAAAAAAATAATGTAAAAAAATAATACTTACCATTTTGTTCATTTTAAATTATACACAACTTTTAATTGGCTAAAACACATTAAATGATAATATAAATTTTTTCATATTTTAAGATATTTTAATTACATTTTTAAAAAATACATTTGTCACACAAAAAATTCTCTTTACATTTTAACTTTATATGTACCCATTTATTTTATTAAATAAGATATTAAATAATTTTGAATCTATCTTAAATATATATTACGTTAATTTAATTTATATATATATATATGAATAAAATATTAAATAATTTTTAATCAATAGTTTTTATGATAGTATTATTTTTAAAATGAGAAGTTTATGCATTTTTATCATATTTTTATTGTATATATATATATAGCAAATAATTTTTAAAAACAAATATATATAATTATATGATTTACTATAATAATTACGTATGTTAATAAAGTCTAGTACAGTGAGTAGATATATAATTGAATTCCTTCAATATACTACGAGAAGTTCTACGTCTATTTTAGTAATTCAGAGGAAGAACGGGAAAGCCTTAGTAATTAATTGGAGCTCAACACAAATTGACTTTGCGTGAGATTTTCCACTCGATATATAATTGGAACATTTTGTAAATGTTTAAGGTCTTATGAACCTAAGCATTTGCTATAATATATCAAGTTTATAATGATAAAAAGAAAATCCTCTATAGTTGACTGAGAGAAGATTTCAATATCATGAACACGGCATGCCAACCGTTCTGAGAAGGATGAACTGTGTCCCAAAAGAATGAAATATCTGGGTTATCGCATAGGCGATACTTCTTCTCTCCTTTGTCATCTACCTTTCCGCAAGAATCTCCCAAACCCACTCCTTCACAACATGGTTGCAATGGATTCATCCATGTCGAGTTTCCTACATAATGGAGTAAAAAAGAGGAAGTCATCATCAAGTTTCCTATAATAATGCAATCTATGATTCAGTCTTAAACAAATGACACTATCTTTAGTAATACTTTCCATTATTGCCATTTTCTATTATTCTGTTTTTCATAAGAAAAAGAAGGTAATTCGTAGTGCAGAATCAACTATTGATGACTATATAATGTACTCGCGTGACAGTAAAACATATAATCAGACAAGCTGGAGTTCAAAATAACAAATGTCCATATGCATATATAGTTGAAACTCGTCACTGTTGATATTTTATCATTGTTGTGACATTTTTTCATCGAGTAAAATCCACGTGAGTCTTACTAAGATGTGAATCTAATCATGATCAATTAATATATCCTACATGAACTCTGGTGAATAATTTAGAATGTGTAGGCAAAAAAAAATGTAATTCAGTATCTTGTTTGCACATCTCTAACTGGCATAGTTTATATAAAAGTCCCTTGGAAATTAAAAAATATATATTTATGCTTCCTCTTCCACAATTTTAGCCATAGTATAATGATTCGTCAAAGCTCAATGAGAACTAACCTGCACCTCTTTTTTGCATCGATTCAATTGCGGAGACGAAGGAGGTGTAGAGGTCTACTGGTATGACAACTGATTTTCCTGATTCCTTGTTTATTTCTTGTACATTTTGGAGCAGAATTTTGTTGTGAGTTCTGGAGATCGAGTTGAGAAACTCAACACATGTTGTGCGTAAAGATATCAAATTCAACGCCGGCAAACACCCAATAGGCTGCAATAACCCAACCGCTATTTTATTTATGCCCAAGTTGTGGATGCGTTTAAGATCTTGGCATAATTGCTTGACAAGGGATTCAGTGAAATCTGGTAAATCCTGCACAAAGAAAAAAAAATGACATTTGTATTATTGTATTATTGGCAATATATAAGGACAGCTACATTTGAAAAAGAGGATTTATTTTATTTGAGAAAAAGTAATTGTTTTTCTTATTTTAAAAAATATCGTATGAAAAATGATAAAAAAGTATTGTTTTAATATAAATCTTGTAAAATAATAGTACACATAATACAATATTTTGTGGTTATTTAAAAAAGTAAAAAAATAAATAAATTTCCAATTAAATAGGAATGATTGAAGTTGTCTAGTGCTAGTTTAGCAGGAATCACAGAGTAAATGAGAGGACAGGAACAGCAAATTTTGTGCGGAAGACATAAACATAATTAACTTAACCACTCACGAAAACGCTTCCATTTGTTAGTGCATGTGTATAATCGTTGCCACCAGCGTTCACTAGAGCGATTGAGGATTCAAGGTCGGAAATGGTATAGACTTTTTGTTCGATTAGCTTCTCAAATTCATCGATTTGGACCGTTACGTTTGGTCCATCAACCAAAGTTTTGGAAATACCAGTCCCTCCATAAGCAAAGTTTATACCATACTGTACATTAGAGGAATTTCTCAACCTATATGGTGTAGGGGATTCAATTTTCAAAAAGGAAGCTGCATGTAATACGACATTCGTCAAAATAAGCAAATATATATATAAATAAAATTAAACACAGCACAAAATTAACACAACTAATACTAATAATGTATACACATTTAATTATATTGTAAAGGTTAATTTTCATGTATTATTATTCATTTGGTATTTTGGCAGTCTGAGACAAGATTTAGAGATTGGGCATCAAAGGGAGATGTGTGGGCAAAGTAGGAATCATTGTTGATTCAATGCCATAAGGAGATAGAATAAGAGCTTGAATTTAACCACTTAGTTTTGACCTTGATATATATGGTGTTGTTGAGCTTGTTGTTGACCATGCTCTTGATGAGAAAGCTATACGTGGAGAGAGAAGGGTTCGTGGGGGCAACGTTGAAGAACTGCTTGTAACTCTTGAGGGTGGGATCGAGCTTGAGACAATCGAAGGTAGGTTTAGACGAGGAGGTTGTGGGTGATGATGTTGGCAACAGTGCTCACTGGGGTAATGAAGCAGTGGAAGAAGACACAAGGGACGACATTGATGGTGAATTTAGAGAGGTTGAAGGGGATTAGGGCTTGAGGCGAAAAGAGGTGGTTCGTTGTTGAATTATCACTTGCAGCCATGATATCATGAAGGGAATAAAGGTTTGGGTGACTCAGTCATCGATATGATGATAGCTCATGATGATTGAGATCATTCTGAATACCAAGATAACTTGATAAATAGATTCCAAGTATTTGTTGTCACGTACCTTTCGCCTTACCAACCCTCACAAGCTCTCTAACCAGAATTCAAGGGAAAAATTCTCACATAGTCATGCAAGTCTCGACAACAATATAAATTCAATTTCATCACTCTAGTGGTTACCCTTTCAAGCAAGTCTCTAGTGATGGCGAGCCACAAGCATCAAGCGAAAAAACAAACGCCAACACAACGAGCAATAAGACAAATTATCGAATCCCGACATAGATAGGATTTTGGGGATGGAATTTAATCTCAGAAGGAAGGGCAGGTTTTATTTTCCACATTCATTTAACAAATTGGGTTCTTCCGGAAACCTCTCCACCACCCTCGAAAGGTAATGAAAACCATTAATGGGCAAGTCCAATGGCTCACACAATCAAATCAATACAATTTAAAAAGACAGAATCGGGACATTAAAAAAAAGAAAAAATGCAAAACATAATATTTAATAGAAAATATTGATGCTATACTAAACTCAGCACTTCTTTTCTGGTTAAAAAGTAAAAGAAAGTTATGAAAACAAACTTTTTTCAAGAAACATAATGGTTTAAACAACAATATCATTCAATATTTAATGTTAAAGTACATAATTTTATAACACAATCTTATTTTAAATATTAATTATTTAAAAATAAATAATGCAAATAAATGTCTTTTTAATACATACATACATACATATATATATATATATATATATATATATATATATGCTATTTAAAAAAAATTACCAACTTCGTTGTCACATTTTAAAATTTATTGTTTTAAAATAATAAAAAAATATGAACTAAATAGATATAAGGATTAAAACATTAAAATTTAAGCTTTGATTAAAAAATTTAATAAGAGCATATTTTCAATAATTAAATCAGGGTTTAAGTAAAGTTAATAAATTATATTTAAATACACCCCCAATGTAATAAGTTTTTACACTATCATTTAATTATAAGCTCTCATATAAGTCAAAATCTTTGAATTTTGTAATAATTAATATAAAACTTAAGTTTAGAAAACTCTTAGAGAAATTTCATAAAAGAAAAAAATTAGTATAAAAATGAATAATTTTTTATAAGTTAAAAACAATTTTTATTTTTTTATTTAACTTCTTTAAAATTTAAAAAATAATTTTTTAATTTTTTATATTTATTTTTTTATAACAACTTTTCTAAAAACTCACTAAAACCGAGTCTTATATTTTTCATGTATTCTAATTGATTGATATTATAAAGGTCTTTATACAAATAGTATATTAAAATTAAACTCATTATATATGCCTATAAATTACGAAGAAATAAATATTAATTTATAAATTATAAAAAGTGTGACTCACATGATTTTTATAGTTATCAATAAATTTTATTTAATAATAAAAAATATGTTAAATGATATATTGCTATTTATTAGCGTTATTATGTATTCAATGATTGTCATGACTAATGGAAATAATTAGATACTAAGTACTGCTACACAAAAAGTGCTGTGGTACATATGTTGTTGCGACTTCCATGTGTGAAAATTAAAGATGATGAGCACTCATAAAAAAAAAGAAAAAATATAAGTTGAAACTAAGTATTAAATTTAAATATTTATATTATTTAATATTTTTTACAAAATATAAAATTAATTGATCTAATTATTATATTATTTTCACATTATTTTTACAATTACACACATTAAATTTTATATAATTTAAATGTTTATAGGTATATTATCTAAATTTTAATATTTAACTATATTTTAAAAAATATTATACACAAAATAAATTACATAATCATTTTATTCTTAAATTAAATTATTTAATAAGAACTTTCAAAATAATAGTAAAAATAATCTTACCTTTTATATAAAGTAAAATTTTAATAAATAATATTATTTATAATTTAATATTGGAATATTTTTAGAAAATGTTATTTATTTGATAATATAATATTTATTTTTTATAAATTTAGAAAATATTTAAAAATTATATTAAGAAAAATATAATTGTTTCATTATTTTTTTCAATTTTTGAGTTTTTAAATATTCAATTGATATTTAAAATATCAATATTTTTAATATATATTCAAAGATATATGATAAGAAATTAATAAATTATAAAATTTTATTTATGATTTTACTATTTAATGTTACTAATATATTAAATTTTTATAATATTCAGAAAAATACTAAATATATTAAATTATTCTACACTTTAGGTCACACATAAAAAATTTGTTTATTCAAGAAAATAAAGGGTAATAAATTATTACTCGACCTTATCCTTTGGTCACGAAGATAAAATTTTAGAAATCAGTGGAGATATGTTTTAAATTTAAAATAAATTAAGAATAATGTATAAATTATATTATACTCTCTCTTTTACTTTAATAATGTTTCTTTTTATCCGCATGTTTATTTGTTTATTTTATTTTAAAATTTGAAAATTAAAATTTTTAATTTTTCTTATTATCTTACATAAATTATAGATTTTTTGTAAATTCTTATCTTTATATATATATATATATATATATATATGTATGTATTAATTTTTTTAAATTAATTTAAAATATAATTTTAAATATTTTATCTTAAAATTATAGTTATTTTAAAATTATTTAATTTTATTAAATATTTATCATTTTGATGCTCATTATTTATACTTATAAAGTTAGTCAAGATATTTTTTAAAAAAAATAGTTTAAAATTTTATTATTATTATATATATATATATAATTATTTATCAAAATATATTTTGTTCTAAAATTGTTAAATTATATATATTTATTTTAAAATTATATATATATATATATATATATATGTAACACAAGCTACTAAACTAATATATTTTATATGATTAGTAAATTTTGAAATTGGTTAAAAGACTAATTTAATAATGCTATTTAATTATAATGTTATATGTATATTTATTTTAAAATAAAATTCATGTATATTATACCAATTATTAAATTACTAAATTTTAAAAATTACCTTGACTTTTTTAAAAAATGATCAACTATAAAAAGCATGATGAAGATTTTTTTTTTTTGTATTGTTTTGTAAACACTCCTTTATTATAGAAACAATTGAAAATTAATAAAATGGAATTATACTCTATAAATTTATAATACATTTTAAAAATATCTATAATAATAAATGGTCAAATTATATCATAATAAATAAAAATATAAAAAAATAATGATATGAAAATAAATATTTATTTTCATAATAAAATTTAAAAAAGTAGTGATTATTATTTCTATAAAGGTATAGGTCAACTTCGACTCATTAACCCATGAGTTAAGTTGAATTTATCATTTTTGTTTTTTAGCTCTTAAAGTAAACCGAGAAAAAAGTTAGGCTATTTTAAGTTCATTCAATGATGCCTTTAATCAAAATACATCTTGTTAGCAAGTAAAGTAGAGACCACTATTTATTTTAAGTTGAATCTATGATGTCTTGGTTAGGTTATTTTTAGTCTCTTACTTGACCAACTATATAGAATGTTGCATATAGAGAAAATGAAAAGGGATTTACCAACGTAATCAGTGAGGACGCGACCATCGGAGAACCTGCCTGCGGGTGATCCAGGAAAAGTGATTCCACTCGGAGGCTTATATGATCCTGAGTTCGCAAAATTCCCTGTATCAACATACGAGTCCCCAAAAACAAACAACTTTACGGGGTTGGTGTTGTATACCCCATATGACTTTTTAGCCCCTTCTACTTCTGCAACATTGACATAACAGTAATAACCAATCAATCAAGGAGGAATCAGAGGAATTCAATTTGATTGTGATTTTAGCTCATGAATCAAATACTTACCAGTTAAAATGAAAAGGAGGAGAACGAAAAAGACAAGAGTGACTATGGATGGAGATTGCTTCACCATTGTTGATCACTAGATGATCGATGAAGATTACAACCTTCTGTGTTTTGGCTGACAGGGGAAGGGTAAATATAAATATAAATATTCTACAAAGGTGACACAATTCACGCTATAGTTGACACCTATTTATATACATTTCATGATGTATGCATCTAGTATTTTATGACACCTAGCACAATGGAAAAAGTTCATTAATTATGAGTTAACTTGAGGATGCGATTGAATTTTTTAAGTATACACTTTTCCTGTTGTTTACTAATCAAAATTTGACTTTTATGTTAATAATCTGTGATAATATTAAATATAAATATTTTATTAAATTTTATTCATAAATTGCACCAAAACCACTTCTAAAACATGTAAATTTTGTCCTTTTTAGCCTCTCTAATCACTCTAACCATATCACGATTTCGTTAATTGCGATCAAACACTTGCCAAAAGAGATATTACAACTTTGGCATTTTTTTCCCTTCTTCCTATGATTTGCTAGCATTCACGTGTAAAATATCGTATTTTATATTAATAATCAAGGTTAAATAAAATTTCCATTCCAGAACAAGTTGTCTCGCTTAGATTTTTTTTTTAATTATTAAAATTTAGTCTTGAACAAATTAAATAAATAAATTTGGAATTGGTTAACGGTGTTTTTTTAATATAACTAGTTAACATTGTTCTAATCTACCATGTATCTAACATATGAAAAACTCTTATCTTAATCATCACACAATATTTAAAAAAATAAATTTACAATATTAATGAGTTTTTTGTACTTTACATAAATTTTATTAAATTAAACAGTTTTTGAATAAAAATAACAAATACATTGCATGCCTTTTTAAAATCTAATATATATTTTATAAGTTTAAAAAGAGTTATTATTTTGTTATAATAATAAATATTTTACCATATTAAATATGACTAAGCTAAAGAGATAAGATTTCATATTAAAAAATAATAATAAATATTTTACCATAATAAATATGATTAAGTTAACGAGATAAGATTTCATATTAAAAAAGAGAGTGAGTGAATGTAAATAATAAGACACAAAAATTTAATAAATATAGAATAATGCATATTAATGTTTCAAAACTCTTATTCTATCCTAAGTTTAATGCATATTAAACTAATAAAGTCATCCTATCCAATATTTGAATAAAAAATAATAATAAAATAAAATATAAACTATAAAGAAAGGGTAAAAATTATTGTTTACTCTAATCTTATAACTTTTTGATAAAAATTTATATAAATATTAAAATATGTAAAAATTCAAAACTATTTGTGTATAAATAATATTAAAATACTCACATTAAATTATAATATTTTCATAAAAAAATTTTATTACAGTTAAAATGTATTATTTAATAAAAAAAAAGCAATTAAAACAAAAAATATTTCATAAAATTAGTCAAATATGTTTTAAAAAATATATAATCATAAAATATTTATGAAAAAAATATTTTTATTAAAAATAATGTGAATATAATATTTCTTGTAAAAATATTTTATAAATAATTATTTTTTATAAAATCCTAAAAAGTGTGAAAAGAAAAAAGAATATTATCCTATCCATCATTTTTAACTCAATACGTTAAGGTTAACAATTTGTATGATTATGATAAAAATAAGAAAATAAAAAGATGAATTATTATATCATATTCTCTTATGACATTACATGAAAGAAAATTAAGAAAGTACTTCATCTTTAAAAGTTAAAACTTATAAATATATAGATATAGATAACCATAAAAGTCGTTTTCTTATTATTGAATATGTTCTTTTAATCATAATGTTAAAATTGTAATTAAAGTAGAAAAAAATAATTTAAGCTTAATGCTATACTATAAGATTTTACAACTTCTCTTTCAATATAAAAAACAAATAAATAATATCCAAGTCATCACTATATAATAATAACAATTGACAATGAACAAATCTATAAGATATATACCTTACAATCCAACTCACAAACATACCTTCAGCGTTTTCTAACAATTAACCATTTTTCTGGTTCACGTGCATGAAGTTCATGTTCTCGTGTGCTGGTTAGACGCAGTCTCCCCCAACCACAAGCCAGAGAGTGAAATAATAAAATATTGAGGTGGCAACAGGAGTTGCTTAAGGCCTGATTAAGTTTCCTCCCAAATAACATGGCAATCTTTATTGAGATTGGTCTGCTGCTGGAACAGCATATTAGTTGCATCGTGTCGTGCACTTCGATTACGACTTGGTGAGAAAATTGTATTTGAAGACTAAAGAGTTGGAAAGACAACCTTTGTTGTTCACAAATGGCAGTAGCAAGGCTTGATATTCCACATTCGATGACTGGAAATACATGATAGTCTTATTTAAGTTCTATCCTTAATTATAAAATTTGTTGATACAACAACATTTTATTTGCAGGTCAGAATTTTTGAACATAAAGTCTATATATATATATATAGTCTTTGTTAATTCCTTCAACTTTTGCTAACCTAAACTTTCTCCCAACGACCTCCCAACATTTTTTTTTTACTATTTCTTTTTATCGTCTAAGCACATCGTTACTTTTTGGTTAATTGTTTCATCTGCATACGTGATCCAAACAATAATAAAGTGTGGTTGAAGAAACAGATAGATAAAATAAGTAAGGATGTATTTAGATGATAAAGAAATACCAAAAAGAGTAAGACAAATCAAGCATGAGGGAAATGGAAGCATAGCTCAATACATTGCCTGTACAGTCTCATGGCCAGTTCCGGAAACGATACAAAAGAAAGAGTCTTGATGGCCAGAAACAGAATAATTGGCATATATCCATCCTTTATTTATAACAATGTATGGCGCGACATCTTATGCATATAAATTGTTAAGATAGACATAATGGCATCATAATTCAATGGTGCACAAGCAAAGCATCTACATTAGCAAAAGAATTACAAGTTATATCCAAACCTATGACAGCTATTGGGTACCATCCAACAGTAGCTAAACAAGGTTCAAAAAGGAAAATTAAGAGCAAGTTTGTTTCCATTTTTAAAAATGGAAACCAACATACTCTAAGAGTTGAGTTTCCTCTGCTCCTCATTATCATTCTCGAGAACCAAATTCCTGATTTGATATCAGGAGAACTAATTTGCTAAAGCAAAGAGAAATTTAAAACCTTACAAACATTTCTTTATACCACATTGGCAAAATAAAGAGTTGACTGACACATGGCAGGGGCATATAGTTGGAACAAACCAATTACAAATGCAAGGGTTTTTATTCATCTAACAACTTAAATCTCTTGTTACTAAAGCCCCCTTAAACTTATTTAAAAAATTATTATGCTTAACCTTAAAATCACAAGTGTAAACCTGGAGCATCATGTACCTCCAGTTACCTCATTAAGAAACGATGAATCATGTTGTGTATCCAAGTATGTATTTGTTCAAGAATTAAACCTTTCAATACTGATGTACCTCCTATCAACTTGAATTTTGATGTCAAAATCCAGATCAAAAGGTTACGTAGTTGTTTCCCAAGGAACAAAAAAAAAATCAACATAATGTCATCCACATGGTTCATTCATTCATTCAGCATTCAGCATTCTGCATAGCATACAAGTAAAACTATGGATAAAGCAAGTCATTTTATTTTCTTTTGTCAAGTTAGCATATTATGCAAGGGAAACCTATCACTACAGGAGAGGACCAAACAATCTTGGTTAGGCGGCTGTCCGTAACTCCCAAAATGTATACTGCAGCCTGTACAATAGATAACTGAATAACAGCAATGGTAATTCTTGGTTCATGGCAATTTAGATCACAATGATACAAAGACTAAAACAACATACTTTGAAAAAAGAGAAAAATTAAACACTCAAGTTTATTTCTCACGTATCCTTGTAGTTATTTCAGCTCACACTGTCCTTCTGATAATACTAGGACCAAAAATCCTTATTGACATGCTCAATCATTGACAAAGCCTTAGTTGAAGAAAAGTTTGATTCCAATCCTTTTGATAGTTTTTAGTGTGGGTGAGATGAGTAAGATAGTTGAAATGTGTTAGTAGGAATAGTTAAAAATAGTAGTTGAAGAAGTTTTAGTAAGAGACTCAAGAGATGGAAAATTGATGTCTTGATTACTTCTTCTTCATATCTTTTACAATGAGGTAGCATGCCTATTTATAGGCATCATCCACCATTTGGTTCAATATACTTGAGTTATCTAGAAACTTGAAGATTTACAATATTCTAGAACTTTCTCTAGAAGCATCTACATACTAGAAGATACAATTAGTTTTTCCTAGATTGTTCTTAGTATTTTTTCTAGACTATTCTAGAAATTTGTATCAATTTCTAATACTCCTCCTTGATGCAAATTTCTGTAACTCCAAGCTTCGTGCGTAGCTGTTCAAATTTTGGTCTTGGTAGTGCTTTAGTAAAAATGTCTGCAACTTGATCTTCAGTTGTGCAATACTCGAACTTGATTTCTTTAGTTCCTTCTGCTTCCCTGATAAAGTGATATTTGATTGCTATGTGTTTTGTTCTACTATGATGCATTGTATTCTTTGTCATTGCTATAGCTGATTTGTTGTCACAGTAGATTGTAGTAGGCTCATTTTGTTTTTCTCTCATTTCTTCAAGTATTCTTCGTAACCATATTGCTTGACTTGTAGTCTCAGCAGCTGCTACATATTCTGCTTCTGCTGTTGATTGAGCAACTGTTGCTTGCTTCTTTGAAGCCCATAAGATTGTTCCTGATCCTAGTGAAAAGGCATAACCAGATGTGCTTTTCATGTCGTCGATCGATCCTGCCCAGTCACTGTCGGTGTAGCCAAGTAGCTTTGAGTTGCTCATAGTTTGGTACCATATACCATACTCTTTTGTGCCTTGTAGATATCTTAGGATTCTTTTTGCTGTTCCAAAATGAATTTGGCTTGGACTTTGCATGAATCTTGAAAGAAGACTTACAACATACGTTATGTCTGGTCGTGTGACTGTGAGATATAGTAAGCTTCCAATCAAACTTCTGTAA